ATTATTATTATTATTATTATTATTACTGGTGGGCCTTTCACCTTATCGTTTCCGGAGAAAGCTAAGGCAAAGTGAAGAACTTTGATAAATGTTGGTAGTAGCAATTAAAATGATGATGATAATCATTATGGTAACGACAAAAATAGTCATGATAACAATTATAGTGTTAATAATATGTAATAATAGTAATAATCTTGGAAGGTGTAGGTCGAGAAATCTAAGCACTTACAGTGTCCATAACCCTTTTCGGCAACGAGGAGTCATCATATTTTCCGTCCTCGCACTTTTCACTTGCAATGATGAGGGTTACGTTGATTATGTTTCCCGCTATGACTGTGAAAAGAAATAAAAAAATAGACGGAGAACAGAGAAAAATTTAAGCAACATAATATCACGATGTAAGGGCCAGTGGATGGTCAAAACCATCCACTAATTTGTCATATTTTGCCAGCCAATTCCACCCGATTTTAGCACATTTGCTGATGAAAAATTTTACAATAATGTAGTTACAATCAAGGAAACTTTTCAAGGAGCCATTTGCCAGATTTAAATGGTAATGGGGATGCATAAGTCACAAGTAACAGGTTTAAATGTGCATTGATCGGCTCGAAGGTTCATTCGAACTCCGTAGGACGCCTGCATAGTAGGCATTATATGATTGGTCAGTCCGTATTCCAAGCCAATGTTTTAGAAATTTGGCTTTATCAACTGTAAGTTGAAGTTGTAAATGGGCCACCGTAAAGAGTGAAAAGGCTGACGTTTGGAGCGTTAGCCCTTCGCTCTGACGAAATTACAATTTCAACTTAGTTGATAAAACGAAATTACCTCGTTACCTCCACCGACCCCGCACCACAGTTTTTTTTTAGAGAAACTTAACCACCTTTATTTATATATTTTAGAAACCTTTACACTCTTGGGTGGGGGGTTAAAACCCTTAAAGCCAAAATAAAAACACGATTTCCAAATACCGTGCTCCTTCTACCCTCTCTTTCCTTCTCGAATCAAAGCATATCTTCAGAAAATTAAAATTGTATCCACGAGAGTTATTTTTTATCGCTTCGGTCGTTAGTCCTTGTTATTTGTAATTAGTGTAAATAGTTCTCGTCTGGATAGTTCAGTTCTGTATTTATTAGTTTGTATTTTTTCGTGATGTCAAAATGTAAATTCAGTTTTTCAGCGTTGTTCTATGTAATCGCCTTTGAGTATTGTGTAACCTTGTTTAGTCTATTGTTTTAGCCTTTATTCGTTATATAACGTCGTAGTTTGTAAATCTCATTCAGTCGTTGTTATTCCGGAGTGCCGTACAGATCTTGTAAGTAGTTAGGCCTTCGTTTGTATTTTCCTGTGCTTTTTATGTATTAATCTCGTTGTATTTCAGTTTCCTCGGGTTCAAGTTCGCATTGTTAATGTATTTTTCTGTGTTATGTACAAGTGAATCGTTGGGATTAAAGAAATGCATTCAAACTGTGCCGGAGTGTCAGTAACAAGAATATTAGTGCTGGAGGCGCAAACTTACAAAGGCTGATGTTTTTTGTATCTGTGTTAAGCCCATTGGTTACTGTGCAGGTATACACGTCATCACTGTGGACTTCAGCAATACTCAGTGTACTCTCATTACAAATACGTCCTTTCCAGCATGGAACCCAGCTATATCTAGGGGGAGGATTTCCCTCTGCTGGACAACGGAGTGAGACAGCTTGTAGTGATGCTACCAGACGCTCAGTAGGGAAATGAACAATCCTTACAGGATCTGTAAATAAAAATAATAGAAATCAATAATCTGCCTGAGGTATTTAGTTAGTAAAACAGCGTGCGATAGTAAACGGCGCAATATAAGGGGCGGAGCAAATAAATGGCAGGGGTTTGGGTTGGCTCGCCGTTAACTACTGCACTCTGTTTAACTAACTGAAAATTTGAAAGACGGCCGCAAAACAACCATAACAACAAAAACAACAACTATGATGAATATATAAAGTGCCGATATATTTTGAACTGCGGTTAAAGATACGTATGATGCACGATCCGCGCTCTCTACTGCGAGGATCGTGCATCATACGTAAAAACAACAACGCTACCTCCACAAGGCAGAACTAATGCCACCTTCTCTGGCTGACGTCCGGCAGCATTCAACGCCATGGGTTGCTACACTTATAGGACTTATAGAATTACCAAGAAAACATGCTATAAGATGACACAGTAATTCTACATCTGTTTAATGACCCGTAATTCACGACACCGAGCCGAAAATTCCCTTGTCCAGCCCTTTAACTCAACCAATTAGTACATGGTATTGTTCAAGGACTTTGAAGTATGACTTGTCATGTTCACTTCATGTAGAACAACGTAAGTGAGTATAATCAGAGACTGCATGGTCTTCTTTAGGTATAAATTAAATTAATTATTCATTAATTAATTATTCATTAATTAATTATTCATTACTTAATTATTCATTAATTATTTATTCATTAAAAGAAAACAACTTTTAATATGTATTGAGTGTTTAAACATGCCTATAATAACCCACTGAACCCGGAGAGTCTATTTCCACAAAATTGTGTGAATGCAGAAAATATTTCACAATTCAAATTGTTATGCAACTGATTCCACCCAATAAGATATGCAAAACATTGTATGTGTGCAGAAACTGGATTTTTCCGTAGATCGCATATTTAGATTACACACTTACAAACTATATCGACATGCATTAAACGGGTCACTGTATTTCCAAATCCATTGTAAGCTGTACAACGATATGTTCCATCACTAGTTCTGCTGATGTTTCTTATAACCCAAGGGTTTCCAACAAACATTTCATTGCCGTTACTCCCATCATCCAAGACTCTTGTCCAGATAATAGTGGCAGTTGGTTTACCAGTTGTGTTACAGAACAAAGAAAGATTGGAGTTCTCATTCATAGTTTTGTTCCCACTGTAACTTATAAGCCTGGTCTGTTCTAAAAATGTAGAGAAGAAATACTTTGCCAACTAACTCAGATGAGAGTACGCTTACCTAACTCAGGACCTTTAGAGGTGTAGGAATTAAAAATAAGAACAGAATATAACCTTGTACCCTTGTATCAGTTAATAAAAATAGAAAAAGAAAAGGACAGTAAAAAAGGGAGAAACGACCGGTATCATTGAAAATGATGAGATCATGCAAGGCACAATAAGGTTTTCTTTGGTCCATTAGGACAAATGTCAGCTGGAGAGGGGCTAGGAAGGAATAGCTTTTTCCAGTATTAAATATGAGTGAAAATTTGGAAATCATTTTTAGCAAATTCTAAATTAAGAATGATATCATTTTACAAGGGGAAAACTGAGAAAATAAAATACAACTAGAATCACCTTAATTCTAAAAATTAAGTTATAGTCAACTGTAACCATTGCCATTGTGTACTTAAGTAATTTATACGAAGAAGCATCCTTCCCAGGGTGCCATTATAGCTTCATGGGCAACGATAACATTTTCAAGTCATAGTGTGTGTTCCCTCCTCCTTTTGGTGTGATTTCTGATGGCAAATTCTTTGCATAAAGGAATTTTCTGTGTGATGTAATCTGGACATGAACATGGTCTTTAAGGAGTTTGAATAAACGTATTGTTATTCTATTGTGATCCTGCATTCAGCCACTGTGTTGAAGCATCAAAAAATGTAATCATGCCCTAATCACAGCTTTATTCTCATTGATGTTTGATGTCCCTCAAAATTCATGACTGACATTGGCGGCATGTATTCAAATAGAAAGTGTATAAGAGCAACAATATTTACACTCACCATATATGGCAACACGTATTACATCATCCCACACCCTTAAATCAGTGGCCACTGAGCATGTGAATTTCTTTCCATCAGCAGCTGTTTTGTTGTAGATTATCAAGGTGGCAGGATCACTAGGACTAATGTTAAAATCTCCTTTAAAGGCTGGAAATAAGGTAACAGCTCCAGGCAAAGCTTTGCTCCCCATAATAATATTTTCTATTCTCCAAGACACAAGAGTAAGAGATTCACCAGATAAGGTGAAGTCCCATTCCAAACGTAACTCAGGGTATCTACCATCCAATTCTTTGACTGTTGTTCGAAATGAGGTGTCTCCAATTGCAAGTGGACCACGTTGTGGAGAGGGAAGAATCCATGTGATGGTTGCCTCTTTAGTACAAAGACAGTGACCAGTTAACCAACGTAAGTGAGGCAATAAATGAGTTTGAACTAATGGAAATTTATGATATATCTTATTGACTCTACATAGAAATTACACGCGTTTGATTGGCTGAAAATTCCAAAATCGCTAAGTCGCTAAATTGCTAAATCGGTCAGTACGTAACGCAGAAAGCAAACTGCAGACCGGGTACCAAATGCTGACTAGGTACAAGCGCAATTAAACGCAAACTGTTCTTTCGTCTGTTATAAGTGAGAGCATGTCATCTTACAACTAACCGAGTATCACGCAATCGCTTTACCGTGATCATCTTTTACGATCATTTGCATTGCAGAGGAAAATCTTCAGCCCGTTTCCTCTTATATTTTGTTTTTAACAAACCAGCTATTGTATTCGGCCTTTAGAAAACGACCACAATCGCTCTTAAATGGAATTTCAAGCCTTCCTATAGTATTCTCACTTTGCACGCGAGGTTTCAGTAATGAAACAAATGACAGTTTTTGCACGCGCTCTGCACTCTTCACGTTTTTAAGTGATATGTGTATATGTTCATTTTTGAAAAAATCGTGGACCGAGACCAAGACTGTTCCTTCGACCTGATATGTTTTCGACGTTAAGTGATACACTGATTTTCAAATATTAATCTTTGCGTGGTCACCAAACAGACCAGAGATAAAACCATCAGAAAAGTAAACAGCTGACCGAAAAGAAAATCCTCATTTCAGCTTATGGCACTTATCAGCGGCCATCCGGGGTAACCTCGGGGACATACGCGGGCATGGCACAGGATTTGTCAGCTTTGCTCACTAATTTTAAGCCTGGGATGGGGCAATTGCATTGCTTTTGCACTTTCGTAGTAGGATCCCCGGGGGAAGATCCGCGGGATTTGTAGCTCCACCGCCATTTTACAGATGGAGCTGGAAACGAGTGCCGTTCCCGTCTGCAAAAGGACTGGGTATGTTGGTGAACACGTTCCGGCCAAAGGCGACTAGGCCTTTCCCGATTGCGCTGATAACCTATTGAGCACTTTTCTGAGTTTGGGGCACTATTTTGCACTTTGAGCACCCTTAAGCACTTTTTCGCACTRTWTGGGCAACATTTGAGCAATATTTCACATTTCGAGCAAATTTCGAGCAACATATGTCTTCTAAAACATTTTAAAGCAAAAACTGTGTGTCTTTTGCAACGAGAATCGTGTTCCAGGTCATAAATTTGAATAACTAATGATGTAGTGGTCAAGAAAAAAAGACCGTTATCATGGAAAGACACGTGGACTTGTCCCTACTGAGCGTGAAAACAGAAGTTTCTAATTGGTTGATGTATCATGTGTGTCATCTCAATTTTCTAAATCATCTGATGTCTAGGCTTTACACTAGTAGTGCTGAATTCATTTACAATTCGTAACCGGCTTTAGTTTTTTAAGAGCACAAATGGAAGCACTAAATCAGTCGGAAAACAATAGCACTGAAGGTGAAGAAGTGATTGATACAATTACAATAACAGTAAATGCTGGAGCATCCCTTAGTGTTCCAGAAAGTGCTTCGATAGCACGAAAGGGAAAAGTTCCGATCAACAGGGGGAAGGTTTAGCGGTAGGAGACGTTAATTTCCCACGCACGAGATTACTGTGTTGTGGATGTCCTCCTCTGGGGTGGGATGGGTGAGAATTGGCCCTGACAAGCCCCCATGGGGAGCGGTCAACTAACCTATGTATGTATATATTTGTAAGAACAAGCAAAGAGGAAGCATCAAAACCACCAGTGTGAGTAGACGGGATCGTCTCAAAGAGTACCCAAACCAACACTTTGCCGTGGTAAAAAAAGCTTAGATGTAACGCCTGCAGCGAGGTTCTCAGTTATAAGAAAAGTTCTATTGAAAGACGCATGAAATCAAAGAAACATGAGAAGGGCCTGGCTGATATTGAGAGAAATAAATCAGAACAGCAGTCCATCAAAGAATGCCTGCAGAAGAGGGCAGAAATTGACATATTTACGAAAAGCTTAGAGGTAACTGTTCACAACTTTTACCACTTTTTGAGCTCTATTTTGAGATTTTGAGCTTATTTTCAGCACTTTTTAGCCATTTTCGCCAGCACTTTTTTAGGATTTTACGAGCGCAATCGGGAAAGGCCTAATGGCGACAGAAAAGACGGTAACTGGCTTTCATGTTTCTCTTGTATTCTGTTCCTTTTAGCTGGCCATCCTTCGCTTACATAGCGAATATATTTTTCGGAAGCAAACCACGATTCCCTCAATGCTAATATTTTGATCGTAAACTGTTAAATATCTATAAATATTTTTAAAGTGTTTTCGGCTTGAATCATTCATATTTTGTTACTTGAATGAGCATGAAGTTTTCATATTATTAAATTATGTTTATTCTGTTCCTAGGTCCTTTTTCACTACCGGAAGCATAAAAAGCGACATGTGGCGAGGTGTTCAACATTAGGGGAATTGATCCGAGAAGCAAGAGTGTTATTCGATGTGGCAGAGGAATCAAAAGTGTTTTATATCCAGCGCTTTGACGAAATGTGGATGGATATTTCTAGCAAATGGAAAATTAATTATGGCAAATAACATTCTTTCGAAATATTGCACCGTTTGACATAGCAGAGCACACACTTCTTTGTCCCAGGGGAGAGGCGTTATTAGCTTTTTGTTAAACAATCTTGGTTTTGGGTAGGGGGGATTTGTAAACGCCGTTGTGCAAATGCCCGGGGGTTCCCCGGGGTCACCCCCCGGGATGGCCGCCGACAAGTGCATTACAACAATATTAATACTCACAGCGTGTAGTGAGGAGACTATGAAGTCTTGAAATTGTATTTTAGAACGATTTTTGCCGCGAGCTTTGTTTATACAAAATATAATTGGGTGTGCGCAAGGGATATTCCACAACTAGTTCAAATGATCGTGAGACACGATCGCGGGAGAACGAGTGCGTGACACTCGATAAATTGTAAGGTGCCATGTTCTCACGTATCATACGAAAAAGAAGTCTAAATACTCAGTCTGCATTTTGTACCCAGTCTACAGTCTGCATTCTGCATTTTGTTCTCGGTCTGCATTTTTTACGCGGTCTGCAGTCCACAGTACTAGTCTGCAGTCTGCATTTCGTGTTACCGCCCTCGGGTGCCTCGAAAACGCAGACCTCGAAAACGCATACCGCAGACCCCAGACCTCTAAAAATTTGTTTTCGACATTTAGTGATGTTATAAATGATTTTTTTTAGAGGACATTTAAAACAGCTGCACGGACGTTTGCAAAACGATGTACATGTAAATTGGAGAACTACACTAGAACGGCCTCTAAATCTGACAAATTACGTAATTTAACTTTCAGGCGGAATCTCCGCAAACAATGCCCCACAATAATAACGATAATTTTCTATATTATTAGGATGACTTTATTATACTTTTACTTCTTAAGTTTTAGGTTAGCTTAAATGCAGGACCCCACCATCTTGTTGAAATAAAAGTTATTGTATTGTTTTGTATTGTATTTTGTCCACTCGCTACTCGAACTTCTAGTCGATTCACAAAGCTTTATACACAGATTCCATCTGGGCACTTATGATATTCTTCTCCCTTTTTAGCTATTTGGTCCTGCGATTAAGAAACATGTCTTAAAAAAGTCATGCGAGGCATTGCGTGACGAATTTTCCCGCGCCGAGGTCATGGTAAGTACAAAAATTCGTGGAGACCAAGTCGGACGAAGTCTACACAAGGCACGACCCAGTCAGCAAATGAACGGCCATTTACTGAAATGCACCACCACAACAAGTCTCTATTTCTTTGCTTTTTAAATGATGACCCAACTACAAAAGAGTGTCCATAGTGCCAAATTGAATTTCCTGGGAGGCAAAAGAGCATACCTTACGATGTGGTTCTGTCACACGATGAGAAGTGGACGTATCCTGACCTAAGCAACCAGGCCACAAACTTCCATCGACAAAGTACACAACAAAGTAATACTGCACAAAGGGCTTTTGTATCGAAATCAGATTCCTATATTATTATCCTTCTTTGCTACACATACCTCCCGAGGCGAGCTCTCGTCTTGAAAGGCCGCACTTTACCCTTCTAAGCCGGAAACTTGACTGAAAAAGCCCAAATTGCTTCTTGTTAGAGTTGATTCGACTCTTGCAAGAAAAGCGTTTGCCCTGCCTATGTTTACAGCCGAGTTCACTGCCTGTCGAACGTGAATATGACTTCCTGGTATTAAGCCCAGGTCCGTTAACACTGAAGTGTTATCACTGTAAATTGTGGTAACGAAACGACGGTTTATGGTCCGCCTTTTGAAGCCATTGTAAGTAGCATTTTAGTTACTGGTAGAAAAAGGTTTTTGCTGCAAAACACGAAATCATAGGGATCGGTGTAAAATGATATGCATAAAAACATTTGCTTTGAAGAGGCGACTTTTGATATGTGCGGTAACATTCTTCAGAAACTATTTTCAAAATAAGATGCGAACTAAACAGGATCAGTTGAAGAATGTCTAAGCCACAAACATTTGCTGTACAAAAATGACTTTTTTTGTTCTGTAGCATTTCTCAGAGATTATTTTCACCATTATATGAGAACTATTTGAAATTTGAAATTTTGATTCGGAACCATTTAATTCACCTTGAGTTCTTGAACAAAAAATTAAGCTAAGAGTTAATTTCAGAGTATCCACTACGTAATAAATGATTGCAGGTAGTTTAGAGAGATTGAGGATCGAGAAAAGGTATCTTGAAAGCCATGTTGGGCTCAAAAGAAGGAGTGTTCCACACCAGTGTATATGGTGTGATTTGGTTTGACAGTAGGTTGTTTTGAGAAGCCAGTCTCACGTGACCCTAACGCGGGAAAATTCGTCACGTAATGGCTCGCGGGACTAACAATTTAAATCAAATCAAATCAAATCAAATCGTTTTTAAGACATGTTTCTTAATCGCGGGACTGAATAACAAAAAAGGGTGGAGAATGTCATAGGCGTCTAGGTGACATCTAGGTATAAGTTTCGTTCACTCGTTCGAGTAACGAGTGGACAAAAACCTTGAACCGAGATGATTTACATTGTTTTGCAAACGTCTGTGCGGCTGTTTAGAATATCGTCTAAAAAAATGCGTTACTAACATCACCAAATGTCCACAAAAAATTTCTCGAGGTCTGCGCTTTCGAAGTCTGCGTCTTCGAGGTCTGCGTTCTCGAGACACCCTTCTTCTTCTGTCAGAGTGAAGCTATGTTTTGTCGAACACTCAAAGTTTTCATCTTGCTGAGCTCTGGTTATTTGATCGGCAGCCGGTCAAGGTTCTCAAACGACTGCGTGATGTGTCATCGAATATTTTTCGGAAAATGTAAAAAATCGAGAGAACCTACACATCCAAACTATTATATGTCAATGAGGAACTTCTTAGCGACCCAAAGTGATTTATAAATCTCATGTCTGACGTTCAATCATGTTTAAAGGAGGGCTCAGAGTACGAAGCCATGGATATTGCTAGGTGCTCCGTCTGAGGATGGGGTGTTGAACTCTTTTACAGACCATCCTTATGGCATTTCCTTTGTTATAAGTAATAATTTCATTTTGTTAATTGCCATTAAATCGCAATAAATCAATAAATTGAAGATGTAGACACTTAGAAATTGAGAGAAGTCGACTGCCGTCCACGGTTTTCAAATACTATTAACCAGCCGACCAGCAGTCGGAAGTGTTTTGAAAAAGTAAAAAGGAAATCGAAACAACTTATAAAATCCAAACTATTTTATGTCGATGAAGAACTGCTAGGCGTCCTTGAGGAGATTCATAAATCTCAAATATATAGCCCTCGGTTTACGTTGACTCAGAAAACTGAGAAATTGCGCAAGGTCGACCGTCGGTCACGGGAGATGACAAAGCGTCGAGCGCTACTTCATGGAGTACCCTATGGGGTATCTAAATGGACAACCCCTAAAATCCATTTATTGGTCAAATAAAATACTTTGCAAAAATGGTAAATCGTTTAGATGTATATATCTTAATGTATTTTGGCTTGCCAGCTCTCTGACAGTCACAGTTTGGTACAGTTCATTTTTTTTGGGAGGGGGGGGTAGGAGGCTCTCAGTCGTACTGGTTCCTTCATTTTGGTTTTACCCCTGTGTAATGAGTCTTTTGACCGAAGAGATAAAAAAACTCCACATGATGAATAAAACCCACTGTTTTGAGCTCTGAACGAGGTAAAATATTTAAGCTTACTACATTTTCTAAAT